GCATCAAATTTAGCGAATGTGATTTATATGATTTATTTAAGTTATGATTTATTAGGATATTACGTGAACCTAGATTATCTCTTGTTTTCATTTATTTCTTAGCCATTTAAGTTCTTTTGAGTTTTTTAGTAGATCGCTTGAGGCTGCTCGTCGATTTTCTGTTTGTCCCCTAGACGGTAGCCTTAAAGAGCTGTCCTTAGGTGCGGGTGGCAAGAAAAACCGCCAGAAAGAGCGGCGGTTAATGAAGGGTTTCAACATCGGGCCGCAGCCAGGCGGAAGCGGCACCCTGCCGCCCGTGGCCGAATTCATCGCGTCCCTTCAGCAAGCGCAGCATGAGAACTCCCATCATGACTTATTTGGCTCGACCATGAGCGGCATATTCGGGTCGGGCACGACCTCGAAGAAGAGCCCACATCATACAAGTACTAATAGCGTGCCTGGACTGGCCAGCGGGTCGCGACAAAGCCACGGCACCAGAATTAGCTCTCGGAAAAAACGTTGGGGCACTCTGATCGAGGCTGCAAAAGCCGGACGGGTCTCCAGATTGATCGGTAAGTCGAAAGTTTCCTCGCATTAATATTTCTACTTTAATGCTAATTATGTTAAACCCTCAACGGAATCTCTCGATATCTGTGCAATATAATATTTCGTAATTTATTAAATGAACGCGTGAGTGTAGTCACTAATAGTTACGCTCTTTATCTAAATATGAAATATAATTTGAAGCTATACATTTTATTTAAAGTTACGATATGTACTTATTGTTACCGATATATTTTTTATTTTTCCTATTTTCCCAGTGATTGGACTCATAATGTTGTCAGAAATTTTGTGACTTGTATCTCTCTCTTCCATATACATCTTTTTACTTATTTCAACGAAACGATAATAATGAAGTCACTTTATAAATAAACGAATGTCGTTTTCTCTTCCCAGGTAGATCTCGTTCGGAGGACTCGGTATATTCACCGGCGTCTGAAGATGGCGGCTCGCGTTCCGAGGGTTCCTCGGACTCGAAGTCCTCTTTGGAGGGGACCGGTCACGATGTACAAAGCACGCAGCATCCCCATAACTCTCATTCTCATCACGCGCATCATCACGAAGCGCATCACATGTTTACTCACGGCCTGGGCCCGGCTCTGGCTGCTCTAAGGAGGAAGCGCAAAAAGTTCTCCGCCTCGAGAGTATCTACGCCTGCGATGACCAGCAGCACCAACACGAATCCCGCAGACTCAAGCACAACGTCCTCGGTCGCCACTGTTCTAACAGCCAGAATCTCTTCGAAGAAGCAGCTGCAACGCGCCAGCAGCGTGCCCACCCGAGGTCCCGAATTAACGCCGCAGTCGTCAATAACGTCGTCACGGCGACACGAAGTCACGCAGAGCCAGCAGCCCAGTCTCGATGTCGTCGAGACCGCCATCAACGAGCGCATGAACGCGCAGCAAGGTGAACCGATATTATTATGCGGGATATTATTTCACGAGAGCGTGTAGGATGAAGCAATTATAACATGCATTATTGTGCACGTAACTATCTGTTCGCCACTTGGCTGGGAGTAATTATCCAAGCTCGTAACTAAAATATAATGTAAATTGAGTGACAAGATATATGTGAGCATTTAACATTTTTATTAAAAATTGTGAAAATGTCTGTATAATATCTTATTGATTTGCAACATTTGAAATCGAAAGGCATTTACGATGTGGCCATCGTTATTTTTTTTTAGGTATCGTTCCATTAACGCCGTCGACGACCGAGGAGAGCGTGGTGGCGAGCGGCTCGACGTCGATCACGGCGAAGCGAAACGGATCGGCGACGCAGCTGCAACGTCTTCCCGGCATCGAGCCGATTTCCGGCCACGACGTGTCCGCCGGCTGGCTCTGAGGAAACGGATGTGTCGCCGACGGGCGGCGGCCGACCAGCTGACACAGGAAGCATCAGTCGGAACTCAGCTTCGAGCTTCGTTTACAACGGCCATGAGGCTAGAACGACGTCGACGACGATTGTGCACGCACGCACGCATGCGGCACGATCGTCCTGACGTCGGCAGACGCACAATGATGCCTTTCTCGCGACGCGACGCGCCATGCCGATTAAACGTAAGAGCGACGTCGATCGAAAATCTCGAAGGAACTTTATCTCTCATCAGGATCTTTTATCCTCTTCCCTTTACCAATCCTTTTATTACGGACACTTCCTTCAATAAGATAATGGCTCGAAATTGACCTTCAAGATTATTGGTACGTTATATTTATTATTTATATTTTATATATATTTATTTTTATATTTTATACAGGAAAAGGAGAGAGTATCCACGATTTTATTCTAGTGAATTTATATATATATATATACACATATATATTTTTTTCCCAATTTAAACTTTTTTCGAACAGCAGCTGTATATAAAGTCGTATTTGCGTCGTTTGCACGACATTGTATTTTTTAATCAATTTTAAAGTTAACATGGATGATGAAATATCACATATGATTGATCGCGGTACCTTCTCGCACGGCTGTCTTTGAGCGACGATCGACGGTAGATTGTACTGAGAATTACTATTATTACTACTACTGCCAGAACGGAAGTGGCATGTGTGAGTCGGTGACAAGTAGCCTAGTCAACACTAGTCAACCAGATCTCGTAACAAAAGAGTGAAAAAAAAACAACTATTATTATATTATTAAGTTAACTGTGGAGGGAGACACGACGAATTATGTTACCTCAAACAAAAGTCGAATCTATCGCATCTTCAGAGAGCTGGTCTACTGAAGAACGAAACTCATATATAGCCTCCTATATAGCTCCTCCCAAGCGATCGTTTCTTCGACGATTTATTTCTTCCATCTACTTATCCCATTCTAGTCACAACTAATCGATAACCAATTATTGCCAACGGACGATTTTTATTATTTTTTTATTCTACAATATTTTAGAACGGCCACAAACGCACAGGTATTGAGAGAATCAATTATATAATAATTCTTCCGTAAGATATGCACGATAGATTGCGCGAAAGAGAGACGTCTGGATCCTTAAAATCTCACATTTCTGCAAAATTCCGACATAGAATTAATTGCTCGTTAATCGTAAGCTTGTAACGGCTGACGAGTCGTCTTTTAACGATCCAACGCGTTACTCTCTGCCTGTATTTGGACTATCGAACAGTTAAATCTTTCGTTACGTCGAGTCAAATTGGCGAGATACGCCGAATCGATTCTCGCGAGAAGAGCAGGAAGCAAAGTGGCACGACCAAAGAACACGCCGGTAGTACATAGTCGAGTAGTGGCCTAAGGAAACGAGAGTCCTAGAGATATTACGACTATTTCCTAGATATTACGTGTATGTACGTTAATAAACAATTATTACTATCGTTAATGTCGAACGAATCGCGCGATCAGCACCACAGGTAAGTTCCTGAGAAGCAAGTCGCCCTGAGGGCGCACTGTCCAATTGCTCGCTCGCTTCGTCCTCCCCTATTCGTCATGGATCTTCCCGCGGTCTCGATAATGCCGTAAGAGAGATATATAGTCATTATTGAAGCGCTATATATTTACCAAGCGGATCAAACCGCCGAAGTAATATTTCTTTAAATAAAATATAGGATTTTGAGCGAGTTAATGAAGAGCGATTTAAGTAAAGGTAAATTTTTAATAGGAGTTATTTGATAAATTTAAAAAATTATACAATGTTGCATTGTGAATGAAAATTTTATTGTTTAACGAGTGATATTATATAGAGACCTAGTGTATCATCTCTTAAAAAAAGCATATGGTTTGGCTCTTGGTAGATGTATAGTGATTTATTAATCATTATACCACCTACGTGTATTATTTATATGAGATTATTAATGTAACTGTGTGAAGTTAGATTTCCAGTTGGCGATAAATAGCGAGTGTTTGTTGTGAAAGGAAAGGAAAAAAAGTACTGCGAACGAAATGTAAATTGAACCAACTGATTTCAATAGGCGCGAGATAGAGCCCGGAATTATTTGCAATGAAATGACAGTCCTGCGAATCCGATCGAATTTTCTCACAGATTACAAGTGTATGAAAGTGGCGGAATTTTTCTATTAGCCACATGAGTGTGTCGCATGCGTTTCGTAATACTTCCTACGAAAACGTATGGATCATACGCGTTATGAGAATGGAAAATGAGTAATGGAAAATCGTAGCGGTGTCGAAAATCTCCTCAGAGTTGCGGATTTTGGACAGTTTCCAAAGACAGCTGATTGCAATTCAGGATCCGCCGTGAATTATAGATGCATGAATTTCTACGTAAGAACAACAAGCGTAGCAGCTGCGGGCATCACTCGAGCAATTGTATGTTGATCGAGGCGACGTGCCACGTTTCAAAAACGTGTAGCTGCAAAAGCGTGAGAATAGCGAGAGGCGAGAATCAATTGGATATCTAACTCCGAATTGAATTTCAAGCGCGTTTTCTATTTGTGACGTAACATGAACAAATTGTGTCAAACGACCTCTTCATTCCACTCGATCGGTAGTGTCAGAAATTTAATACTACGGTTAACTGTCTCACGTTTGATAGATGTGATATTAATTTACAAACGACGGAATTCGGATACATTAAATTTGAACGGATATATATTACGAAAAACAAATGTTTTAGCCGATATAAAACAACTACGTCGAGTCCACGTTTTCACAGTATCGATTGAAATTCGATGGGAATCAGCAGGCAGCAAACGAAATGACCATTAATAAAATATAATTTATTCTGATAATCCGTTTATTCTGTATCCAACATTTTGTAGAAGGGATAGAGCACAGTGTTTATAACGCGATTAATTTAAAAGGAGGCAAATATATTGGCAATAGAGGGCTGGCAGTAATGTACATTGATAGTCTATAAAGCCATCGATTAATATTAATTTGAATGTTCAACGTGGATCGCTTTGTGAAGTGGGGCGTGTTGAAATATTTCAATTCCAATACACACGCTAATCCAAAATGTTTTTAACAATTAAATATTTTAAATCAAATTATTTTTTTCATTACCGTAGCGCTTTTTGGCATAGAAAAAAAGAAATCGCGAGCGGAAAAATATTAAGAAATAATCAAATTGCGCACGGGACACAATAATCCACGTTATGCATTCGTGTATATGGCTTAGGTCTCGTACGTTCTAATATTAAAAATTTACAGAGATTTACCTCTTTGCAGATGTAATTAAACTATCTTTTTTTGACAGATCCTTTGCCTGAGTAATCCTTATTCTACTACGTATATCCTAATTTAAATGCTATCGAATGTAGAGCTTCTTCTTGATTCGTCACTCGCACGGCGCCAGTTCGCAACGATAACGACGATGCAGCTTCTTCGGGCAGGGACGGCCACCGTTTGCAGCCTCTCGCTAATTGCGCGAACAAGATATCGTCAGATATTAGAGCAGATAGGTCTCGTAGTAATGCCATGTACAAAAGCTTCGTAATATTTCGTTAATAATGTTGACACGCGACAGTTTATGTTATTTCAGCGAGCCGCGTATACCACAAATTCCGCAAATAATAACATGCGCGCTTAATAGCCCTCGGCCAATTAGCTTACCTCGACGGTACGGTAACTTGTGACGCGCCCAATACCACAAGTGACACTACACGGCGACCAATTTGACCAGCGGGTTACCACACAATCCACAGGGGGAGATGGAGGAGGAGGTGGACTCAGCGAGTCAATAGGTGTTTGATTTTGGTTTACGGTCTCGTTAAAGGCCTGGCCGGTAAGAGCAGTTCGCACCTGGAAACAAGAATTTAGATGACACCCTATTCCCGCGCGCGCGCGCGCGCGATTTTCAATAAAACATTCAATACTTACGATGTCGCAGGTATTGCCGCACTCGTCCGCCGTTAGGAAATTATTCCGGTTGCCACGGCATCCACCGTACGCGAAGGGCACGCACATTAATTTCCGCGGGTTGAAAGCCCATCTCTGGAAGTAGCCTCTGCACGGGCCGGGATCTGCTTCCTCCATACACACAACTTGAAAAGAGACATGGATGAATGGCCGTAAGATTATTAATTAATCTGAATTGCCGAAGGAAGAGAACTCTCTGTGTTCTCCGGACGTAAAAATTTCTCATGTTTCTTACCCTTTGCCGTTGCCATGTCAAACGTACAGTCCGACTGAACGAGACACGGCCGTTGCTGGATCAATTCCACGCGCGAGGAGCATTCCGTCTGCAGCGACATGTCGACTATCAGCAGCCTGGTCCTCAGTTTCACCCCCTTGCCACAGGAAGCACTGCACGGCGACCAGTCGGACCAGTCCGTCACCTTAAATTATCGCCGTCGAACGTTGTAAATTATCGTACAAACCTCTATCTCACGGGCAAATAGATTTCGAACTCCGCACCCTGCACACAGGATCGAGCTGCTCTTCCGTTCCCGCCTGACACGGTGGCTCCATGCACTTCTCCTTCTCGACGAGCGACACGTGCGTGCACCGTTTGCGGCCGCGACGGTCGCGGAATCTCCTCGTTCGCATTTTCAGGCCGATCCCGCACGTGCTCGAACACTCGGACCACTCGCTCCATTCGGTGGTCTCGCAAAGCGGGTCGACCCGCAAAATCACGTCGTCGTCGCTCTCCTCCTCGCCCCTGAAATGACACCCCGGCGTCTGTGATCGCGTTATGCGAAGAATTAAATCTAACGCGATTATCCGTAAAATATTATATTCAGTTTGACTCTCGTGGAGCTTCGACAATTTCTTAATCTTTATTGAGACATAAAAACTTGTGAATCCATAGCACTCACGAGCATTCGGGAATGGACGCGACACACATCTCCTTCGAAACCAGCTGTCTGTTACAGTTGAACATAGCGGCTTTCTCCGGCATTCTGTAAGACCTCGTGCGCATCCTTAAGCCTTTACCGCAGGTCACTGAACACGACGACCACGGCGAATAATCCGTTGTGTGGCACTCCGCTTGAAATTTAGAGCAAGATAAAGTTAAATTATGCTCATAATTCTTAATTGCGAGTAGCTCCATTAACGCTTGACGCCATTAAAACTTCGCGAATGACAAAGCTAAAAAGAAATATTCCTTAGATAGCTTTTTAAAAAGATCGGCTATTAAAAATATTTGTACGGCATAATATGCATACGTCTCGACGTGTCCTCGGTGTTCTCGGCCACTTCCAATTCGGTTACTTGCTGCTGCAGAAGTTCCTCGCTGCATCCGCGTGGAATAATTTTCTCCCGGTTTAAATACAGTCTGGCCAGTGGGTGCATGGGCCTACCGGACGGATCGTAGAACGGTGACCGCGGATCCTCTGGATAGAGGGTCGTTATCGGCTTCATCTTCTCGCGCGGTTTCGTCTCGGAATTCGGCGACATGTAACTGATGCCGTTATCGGTTCCGGCGTCCCAGGGATAAAGATCGATTATCATACTCCTCGTCCACGTGCAGTCCTTCTGACAAAGATTCAATTTGCTCACACCTACCACCCAGTCGGGAGACGGACCCAGCATTGAAGCCACCGAGAGAAGAGGGTGCTTTCGATCTACCCTGAAAAATCGTGAAAAAAAAACTGCTAGAATAATAGTGATTATTAGAGACTATAAAATATTAAAATCGAATTTAACACATAAAAATCTCCCTTTTATGAGCGGGTGATGTTTACCTGAAGCTCGTCGTCGTATTTGTATTAACATTAGGATACCAAAGACCGGCGGCTTTAATAAGCGTTCTAAGTTGTCTGGATTTCTCTCTTAATTCCGCCTCCACGCCCGTCGCGGAACCCCACTCGGCCAGTTGTCGAAAACCGTCCGTCGCGATATGATCTCTACCCCAGAAGGAAAAATTCGGCTCGTGCGATGCACCGATGACGTCGCTGAAATGGGTCAACCAGGCAGAAAACGGAAAGTCCTTCGGGTGAGTTCTATTCGACCAGATACCCTCCATGGTTAACTGAAAAAATGTACGACCAGACGCTTTGACTAATTATCGGCCTGTACTTTATTCATCGTCCATCGTAACTTCGGCAAAATGCACATGTAAGTGAAAATAAAATTGAAAATTGCGCTATCTATTCTCTTATATCAATCTCTGTCGAACTTGTCGAAAGATTTCATAACTTACCGAGTACTTCGCTTCGTCGCAAGCGCAACATCTAGTCTCGTTAGCACTCTCAATTTCCGTGTTTACCGTTTCGCAAACGGTCTTGGTAAGGGCACCATCTTCCGCATACCATCGTACATTGTTCTCCAAAATCATCGCGGTGAAAATGACGCACCCGGAGCCGGCCTGTGGCGCCCGCCACATCACCTGGATCTGCCAAGAAAATGAGTTATTAAATGAACGGAGAAGCAAAGAAGAGATTAATATTACGTAATATAATTTTTTTAAAGGAGCCACGCATATATCAGATTGTATTTCTACCTCAGATTTCGGGTAATCGGTCGCTTCGGAAATCGTGTTAATGCAGTCCTCGTTGAAGGTAGTCAAGGAATCCGGAAACAGCTGGAAGTAACCGACACGAGCCGCAGGATTACTTGGCGCGTGCTGCGAATGCACCGTGAGCGTGAAACGCGTAAATTGTTGCAGTCTCTCATGCGTTTGCGATCCTAGAATAGTCACGTACATCGATCATCCGTAACAACGATACATAGTCGATACGAATTTTTTTTTTAGAAATCTCGCGTTTACGTTATTCATCTCGTTTCCTATTTTACGAATTTTTTTTAACAATCTTTCAGGTGTATACAACCTTGCAGGCTAATCGTGTGAACTGCATTCGGGATGTATCCGTTTGTTTGTCCGCTGATGAGAATTCTATAACCACCGTCACCCACCGTCCTGCTCGCGGAAGCTTGCTCCACCGTTGGCCTCATGGGACATCCGGCGTGAGTCACGGCGAGGAGACTCGCCGTCAGTATTAAAAGTAACATTTTGGAATGTCTGTAACATTTCATACATTTTATATTTATTCCCCAAACTTATTCTAAATGCATAAAGCGACTTAGCGTCTTATGCATTTGAAATTCGTGAAAGCTATCTGTAATTACTCAACGATGTTCATTTTTACAATATGTGTAAGTGATTATTATTGCTTTATTTTATCACATAGTATTCTGTGAAAACTCTGACACATTTTAATCATTATTAAACAGTATAAATAATTTAAAAGTTATATAAAGTTGGTATAAAACGTAACAGTTATATAAAACCATTATCTAACATTCGTGCGCAAGATTTGTAATACGCGAATGACATTCCAGCGATTTTGTCCTTGAATTCACGCCTCGCTTGTTCAGCAAGAAAATTGCTGCAATTGACAGTGCCGCGAAACCGAGCGAATCTCAGTTGATCTCTTAAGCGCTATTGTCAGAATTCGTCTGAAAAGCAACGAGAGAGAAAGAGAGTTGTATGATCTAAACCCGAACGAATCCCGCCGATCTCTTCCGACCGCTATTGTTGAACTCGATTTGAAGCGATAAATCGCCGCAGAAATACCTTGTGCTACATAGACCCATAAAGCAGAGATGCATAATCGCGAGTGGATCGCGGATCGGGCATGATTTCGCAATCGCGAATGGAGAACGGAGATTGTATTGTAATCGCGACTGAACTGCAATTGGGAAAGATCTGGAAATTTTTTAGTTCTTGAATAAAAGATATCGGGATTATTTTTCTACAAGTGACAAAACTGTAGCATATTTAACTGATAAACTAAAATTATTAGTTTCCTTTTATTAATATTTATATAAAATCGAGCTGATAGATTGTGCGAACTAGAACTAGATCTCTTCGATTCTTGCAACAGTTTTCGAAACCGATCGTGCGGATTCAACGACATAATATAAGAGTTATTGCATAAATTATTCGCGGCTAACGATACTCGATTCTCTCAGCGATGGAGAAGCAATTTCTTCCGTATCACAGAAAAGGGATCGTGAGAATGTTAATTATTGTCTCCTCTGCGAGACTCTTCCATAAGCAATTTCTGCGAAATAGAAAAGAGGTTGGTTGTAATTATGTCTCAATATATTTAATAATCGGGCAACATCGAATTTCTCTCGTTTCATCTGCTTTTATTGAATGATTGCGTCCCTCTGCGGCTGCGCACAAGTCCGTGATATTTTATGATCAGAACGATCGCGCGTGAGGGATTAAATTACGCTTGAAATTGAGTGTCAAGATGCTTGGTCAAAACAACTCATACAACTTGATTACTATAATTAATAGACATCTTTGCCGTACCAGAAAGATGCTGATAACAATAAATAAAAATGATAAAAGTTTGAACATGAATAACAATTAAGTGAAAGGTATAAGAATACGTGGAGAAAACATTTATATATATATATAAAAAAAACAATTTATTGGAATACAAATAAAAGAAAAATGATTAAACAGATAATGATTAATCGACGAAAAATAAAATAACACGTTTATTTTTTAAAAAATTTATGTGACACAAATCTCATGAGTGCAAGTGTGTTAAAATGATGAATTTTGAAACGTTATTGCAGCCACGTGCGGAGTCGAAGCGCGTGCCGCATATGTTCGCGCGCAAATTCCACGCTTGACGCATCCGATTACGATTACGGTCGAATAGCTGGGAGAACTGGGTCGGGACTCGTGCCAATCTGCCTCGACCGGCTTTCGAGATCGGCACTCGCAAGACACGTAGGTGGCTGTAGGTTTCTAGAACGCTAGCTCGGCGAGGCGGACGAGAGACGAGACGAGAAAGAGCGAGCAGCGCGTACGGTGCACGACCCTCTGCGGAGCCGGAAATTGCAAAGCGCGGCACTCGAGAGATGTGCTTTCTCTCTATCTCTCTCTATCTCTCTCATACTCTCGGCACGTGGCGCAAGCCGTTCCGTCTATCGCGCGTTTCGGATACGGAAGTGCTCCGTCCTGTGAAATCCAAGGTATACGAGAGATTCGAGAATTTCCTGGTTAAAATCTTGAAATTACACATCTCGTGTAAGTCATACGCGAGAACGTGGTGAAATGCATACGCGAAAAGAACGATTTTGCTGAAGTATAAAAATTTAGCTAAATACAGAGAATCATTATATTAAACTAAATGATGTATTAGACTCTCAAGCTGGTTGCTTAGAATGTCAAAAGTTTTTGCAACGTTATCATCAGGCTTGAGCGTCCTACATAATAATTTTGATGGTCCAGTGTAATTATTTTCTAGATCTGTATCTCATATCTAGCTCAATTTTTAAGTATTTCAGCGAAACCGTTCTTTCCGTTTCTGTAGACAGTCGTATAAGAAGATTGAGAAAGTGAGAGACTTCTCGTGCGTGTCAAGCGCCCCACTTAATTCCCGTTATAAAATTAATCGCCATTAAACATAATTTCCATTCTGCCAAACGATAAAAAAATCATTAAGGACATTGCACGACGACTATCGTTTCCGCGATGAAAATGTTGAGATATTTATATCACTATATGCTCTCTTACCTCATGATCCCACCTTTGTTGCTTTTTTTTAGCAGCGCTCGTAATCTATCCCGCGATCGACATTCACTCTCACGGTTTCATCTCGCGAACGCTCGTATATTCATTATTCGTGAATCTCGCGTCGAAATTATCGTGGAGCTCGCCGACGACGGCGACGATCGCTGCTCCATGTGTACACACGCGTGAAAACTGATGCATATATGACGCACAGTCGAACTCGTACCCTCTATTATATCCCTACCCGTAACTACTCACGTGGGTGAGTTTACGCGTGTCACCACGCTCGCAATTAGCGAAATAATTAACGGTACGGACACAGAGCGACGAGCTACGGTACACCTCGATTGTATTCCATATTTGGCAAATTCTGTTAGATGACGTGTGATTAATTAATTTGTATCCTTGCCTTCTTTACAGCTTTATATTTTATAATATCTTTAAAAGTTGACTCAGCAAATTATATCTATTTTAAACGAGATTAATTGTTTTATTAATTATTTATTAATTTCTTTATTTTTCTAGATTCTGTAATATTCAATCTCAAACAGATTATTCATTACAAATATATCTAATTAGTTATTTTACTACTAGTGTTGCCATGATAATTGACGTAGCTTAAATTTTCATGAGTCATATGTCTTCCGACGTCTGTATTGCTCGTACTTGACCATCTTTCAACTTTAACGAGCCGTAATAGAAATGAACATAGTTATTCAACTCGCTCCCCAACCTATGGTTCATTACGCAGCGCAGTTTCAAATCATTATCGTGCGTGATCGTGCGATATCGCGTCAAGTTGGTCACGTTCAATTAGTCTATTATGTTTGGCTGCGTCGCCATGCGATGGTCACCACTGATTTACCGCGGTAGTCGCTTTAACTAGCACAAATTTATCTGTTGAAATTTCCGCTCGCGGAAGCTCTCGGGAATTCGTTTGAACAGGCCACCTTGAAAATTGCGTTTGCCGTTTAGCCCATAAAAGCGGCGCGCCGACGTTTTATTAATTCACGTACGCTATTTCGCGGTGGACGCTAATCGATATCGCCTACAGCCGTTTTGTTAAGGCGTCCCGCAGCTACCTTAAACACTAATAAGCTCCATTGAGAGTCCGTCAATTAATCCCATTGCCACTGCAATATGCATACGTACTTTACCGTACTACCATGCATCGGTCCCTTGGTTCATACAAAGCGCACTTTGCTCACTGTACGATTAATACACGCGTGTAACACATACGAGCGATGAAACTTGGAAGGCGCGTCCGTATCATTAGCGAAAGAAAAATCGGAAACTCGCGCGATTGCCGAGCGGATCTTCGACAAACATAATTTGCGGAATGGCGGACGTCGCGGATCACAGGCTTCTTTTATGATGCCGTTGGTCCTTTCACGCGCTTGTAGACCTTTGTGGCTTCGGGGTGTTCTCGCCCACGGTCAAATCTAATTGCTCAACTATCACAGCGGGATAACTTGTTATCGTAACTCTCATCAGACCATTGATTAAGAGGAGGCTCCATTAAATTTGAATTTTCGAGATTATTTGGTATCTTCGCTATTTCTAATATTAATGAATTATTCAGATACTATATATTACCCATATAAAAAAATTTAAATAAAGCACCAAAAAGTATTGAAATTTCTTTTAGACAGAAGTATTTAAAATTTAAACTGAATAAAACTTATCAATATGTCACGCATATTATGTTTCGTGTATTTAAATAATCTCATTAAATATTACGCATGTAAAATGTATGCCATAATGTTAACATATCATCACTACACGAAATTAATCATAGTGGTCGTTGCGATCAGCCCGACCAAGATTCTCATTTGAATTCACAATTAGTGCAGAGAGGACGATCGGCACGTTTGCGAACATGTTAATTATATAATCGAGCTTCAACAACCGGACCGATTAGTCACAGAATCGCCTACGTGATGCATTTCGCGACACGTCCGTTCGTCGATCGTGAGCAAATCGTGAGCAGAGAGTGAATTACTCACCGGCGGATTCGAGACACCCGTGAATATTCTCGCTGGCCAAATCGACGGACACTGACGGAGAGATCGACGGATGTTCGTGTGCTCCGTTTCCAGTGAACCGGCCAGGATTTTATCGGGGAGTCACGGGGTCAGTTTCGAGTCAGCGTGTATCGCCTCGAGATAATGCGGAAACGACGACGATAAACGCCAGCGGCGGCGCGGCCGCGACGATACGCGAATATATTTAATGCGGTACATTTGCGGTTTCTCTTGGAGTTGGAACCAGCGGCAAAGAGAAATCTCGATGCGACCGTCACCTCAGATTACCGGTGGATCTTTACGAATCGGCGCTGTGTTTCTTTCGATGCCTCATTTGATAAAACGCGAACGTGCACGCTTGTCAAATTATTACGTTAACGAAGAATAAATCGAACGAGATAACGAGAACGTTGAAAAGAAATGTATTTCATTTCGTGATCCCTGGCAAAAATAATATGTTTATAAGATGTTTGCTTGAGTGTTGAGTAGATGTTTCATTTCAGTTTCAAAACATTTATTAAATTGTTTATGAGATGTTAAATATGGAATTGTTTATGAGATGTTCACGGCTACGTTTTCCTTATGAAATGTCCAAGTGGCGTTTAATAATGCGGTCTTAAACGTTTCCATTATAGTTTTCCAAGTATTTATAAAATATTTTGTCAGCTAGCAGAGGGTTAACCAAATGTTTGCGACATGCTTCTAAACAGTGCAAACATCAATAAAACTCTTCATAAATAGTGTAATCATTGATAAAACTCATAAACTATCTTTATTGCTTATCTCCGCAGGGTTTGCAAGGCGTCTTTATAAGGAACGTTCTACCCAAACCTTTACACTACTACCCTTCTCCTTTTACTTTAACCCTTTGGACCAACAGCTTAACGTCTCTACCGAAAGACGGAGCCCAGTTTGCTCCGCACAAGAGCCTATCTTGCACGGAGGGGCGCAGCTGCCGGAAAAACATTCCATGTTTACATGGCTCTAGTGGACTCGAACCTGGAGGGTGGCAGTGTGGTCTTGTGGTAAAGCGCCAGACTCGTAATCTGAGGAACCAGGTTCGAGTCCACCTGATCACAGGAATTTTTATATTCCAAACTGCACCCCCCGCACGAGTGGGGCTCGTGCGGAGAAACTGGGGGGCTATCTTTCGGAGGGAGACATTAAATTTGAAATTGGTCGTCAAGCTTGGGGAGCTTGGGAGTATTGTTGACACATCGGCACTGACGTAAGAAATATTAAATGGAACTCCATTTCCGACGAATGTCGAAGACTTTGTATTATCATATTTTTTATGTTTTACTGTAAAAAGTAGTAAGTAAAATTAAATTAGTGTTAAAAAGTCTAAAAATATCAATTTCTCTTTATTATTTTCTGTTGCTTTAAAGATTTTATAACTTGACTTAAAATTTAAATGGAAGAGACACAATTCTACAGTATTATTCTTATCTTATATTTTTACTTGATATCAAAAGAGAAAGGAATAATTAAGATTATTTTAACACTTGAAACAATAATGTTGGTCCAAAGGGTTAAAGTGAGAGGAGAAGGGTAGTAGTATAAAGGTTTGGGAAACGTTCCTTATAAAAATGCCTTGCAAACTCTGCGGGGATAAGCAATAAAGATAGTATATGATAAAACTCTTCATAAATAAATATAAACCACAATCTCTCACTAAACATTTTCGCCAGGGATGCAAAATACGAGCGGGAAAGATATTATCTTCGATTGGGCTTCAGGGCAAATCGATCGAAGTCTCAGCCGGCGTCGAACGCACCGACATATCATCTCCGGGTTCTTATACCGGGTGTCGTTCGAATGTCGCGCCTTGGCAATAATGATAGTCACGGCATGGGACATGGGACACACGCATGCGTTATATTATCGACAAAAGCCCACGGCAAGTGCTCGGTCAGTCGCGGCTGAGCCGCGCCGCGCGAGGAGCTCCGACTTGACGTTTCTCCTCGCTGCGACCACCCAGCTCCGCTTGCCTACGACTCCAAACGTCGCAAAACGCCGTTGCGTTTTCTCCGATCGGTGCGACTTTCGACTTCGAAATGGGAACGTCGTGAGAGATCATCTCGTCACCGCCCACCGTCATCATCATCATCATCATCGTCATCGCCGGAGTAGTTCTCCAAGCGTGCCTCGCACCGCCGCCGCGCGCCGGTCCCTTGAGAGGCACAGCCGCTCGTCAGGCATACGCCGCTCCTGATTCGACGGGGCCAAGGACGTTCACGTTCGCAAACACAGACGCACACAGGTGGAAAACGCCGATAAGTGACGAACGTGAGAGGAACTGGGCGATCCCAGGTAGAAGGCTGACGGGGCACGCGGCTCATCGTCGGCCATGGCGAGTCTGGCGAGCAGCTCATCGTCGGCGGGCCTAACCAGGGCCCCGACGATGTTGGAGCAGCTGCTCGAGGAGATCAATTTCCAGAGGACGAAAGAACTCAGGCAAATGCTCAAGGATGGTTCGTATTCGATTTTGCTGCCGGAGTAAGGCGGTTCGGTGTATCTCTGTCGAGTTGGGGGGGATGACAATGTGTGCGTTTACACGTACGGTGGGTGAGGGTGAGACTATACACGGCGCGAGTTAGGGTGTGCTTTAACCAACGAATTATGTAAAGGGTGTTTCGTTTTCAAAGGGGTTGACCGCCGATGGAAAATGCAAAATCGTCTCGCTCGGTGGAATTGCTTTAAAGAAACAAAATTATTTTCAATTTTTTGTTTGATTTTTTATTATTTTGATACTTTATAACACTTTTTGCACACTCAGAAAAGCCGTTCACATAACTTTATTGTTGTTTATATCAAACTTTTTAATTTACTTCCTAAAATTTTTAAATATTTGTTGAAGAAGATGGATTTGGGCTTAAACGTTTTATTGCGATTATTTATTTCAATATTTGGAGCTCTCACAATTCATGAAATAATATAAATAAAAAGTTTTAAAAATAATTTAATAATAGATAATGATATACACAGAAAATTTGAAAATACTCCAAGGCTTGTTTAGCGCTACGTAATAGCTTCATCCGTCTGCTCCAATAATGAAAATCGCCTCATTTGGTTTGCTTGTGTTTGTTATTGACGGAGATTAATAAATGTTTCGCTAATCACTTTAACTACGTACTCTGTTAGTCATAGGA